ATAAAATTATATATATTTTTTTATGATGGTATACATTTGCTTTAGGTTGTACGTCAGGGTCAGCACATGTTCACTAAGGTTGCTGTACATATATTGACAACCTTTCTAGCATTAAAATAAATCTGACTTCCCAACTGAGTAGCTTGTTTAAAGGGATCAACTTGTTTTTAAGGAAAAACAAATAGATTTAACTTAGGTAACAGCAGCCAATATTCTCTGGAATTGGGTGCCATTAGATACATTATGATAAAGAGAATAAGGGTTTGGAATTGACAAAAGCTCATATAGGCAATACCCATGCAGAATAGAAGGCTGTGTTCTCCTTAGAATCTGCCGAAACTCTCATACCTGCTTTTGTGTCTCTGTGATCAGCAGGGTGAGTGAGTCTGACATACCGCTCACTAAGCATATCCAAATGTTTGTTTGGTAGGTTTGTGCCATCGCAGTACAAGTGGGCAGCGTGTGGGTTCAGCCAGGATGCACAAGGATGCAGAAGCTACTTCTTCCCAGGGCAAACGTTACAGCCCCAGTATGGTAACAGCAGAACTGCAGCAGCTGGCAGAAAAGCAAACAGCCTGTCAGTATTCCCCACCAAGCCACATGAGTCTTCTTACACAGCAGGTATGTAAGTAGTAAAGGTAGAGTCCCTGTGACAACAGAAAAGTCTGTCACAGGCTTCTGTGTCAGCACCAGGCTGGGATGAGACGTGCTGGAAGGAGTAAATCTCATGAAAATCGATTTCTCTCGTATTGTTGTTCTGAAGTGTTTACAGCGACCAGAATTTTGATATTCTGTGAGATGACAAGAACATTGCTAAAGTTGTTTTATAGAAGAAAGCAAGACTGGGCAGAGGATTAGAAAATACATTATAAAAAATCAAATCCATGCTTGGTCTTATTAAACAATAAAACCAAGTCTTCTCAGGTTTGTGCTTCCATGCGATTTGCTTCCTTGTTCCTCCAGTGTGTCATCACAGTGCTGGGAATGGAAGTCTGCAGAATGGGTTCTGATGAAAATTCTATATTCCAATAACATTGTAAGGACATAATGCAGTACTTACTAGCATGGGATATGATAATCCTTTTGCTAAACATGGTGGTATATATCAAATTTACATTGGCTTCTGGCAGAATTCCACTGAGTTTCATAATTCTTTTTGATTAGTTATGTCCTAAATGGCTACACACATAGTCTTTTTTTTTTCTTTATAATATGCTATAGTTGTGTTCGTCAAAGGTGTTCAAGTTGGCCACTTCTCAGTTAATTAAGCTGCCAACTGGAGGTTCTCCAGGATAGGCACTTTGCCTTGGAAATTAATTTTTTCCTTCTCTTACTTCCTAGGGACAAACAGTTTAAGTATCTCTGCTCTGATACTTTGATTTTGGAAGTATTGTTTTATCGGTGATGTTTTGCTAAGTTTTCTGAGGCATGTTCAATAATTGCAATAGCTGCTGCTATTTGCTTCTTTTTGCTTCTTTCAATTTTATTGTTATATGTTTGGACTTTGAATATCTGGTTAGATGATTGGCAATATGTCTTTTTCAAAAGGTGGGGTGCATCTATAACTCTAGGAAGCTGAATAGATTTTTGGACCCTTCTACATCTAGTTCAAGGTTGTGATTTAGTCTGGGCAGTTCCAAAACCAACACAGGCACTCTGGTCTTTGCAGGTAGGCCTTGAACTTTAAAGGATAAGTCACAAAAACAACGCACTTTCTTCTTGATGGACTCAGCAGGGAACGTGAGCACTGAATATACCAGTGATGCTGAGGCCTGATCTTGCATCAGGCCAGACCCTACTTAGAGAATTTGATCTTTCAAAGCCTGAAGTGGTATGGGGAACATCCAGAGAAACTTGTTTGATTGTCCAGTAATATTCAGAGCTGTCAGTCTGGTTCTCTTAATGAAATCAGAATTCAGCTTTTTTAAGCTAAACTTTGTCAGTAGAACTGTTCAAAAAGTTGGTAGTGAAACATTTTCATTCAGGAAGTGCTGATTTGTTGAAAGCTAAATATATGATGGAAAATGCCTCCTTGGATAAAAATTAGTATCTAAATACATATTTGGGAAAAAATTGAAATGCATCTATTTCATTTCAGTCTTTTCAGAAAAGAACTTTTAAAAATAAATTCATAGACTTTCTCCCTAAAACCACTCATTTCGCAGTTGGCTCCAACTGCTGTGGTTTCTTAGGTCTGTCTAGAGAACCCAAGTTGTCCTCTTGCTGCCTTTTATGTAGCTATTAGATGATTTTTAAACTGCTGGTTACTGCTGGTTACTGCTAGTTAAATTAGGAAATATAGAAGGGGGAATCCAGAGAGGAATTCACAAAGATCTACATGGGAGGGGCTGGTAGCTTTGTGAGTACAGCTGTGTTGGGTGACAAAGGAGCATACTCTGGTAATTGTAGATGGTAGAGGCTGAAACCTGTTTAGCCACCAATCAGTGTAGGTATACTCAAGTCTGAAAGTGGCTGTGAAGTGCAGTGGTAGCTCTGGAAATGTGTTGGTCGTGATAGATGTGTCTGCATTGCTTTTTGCTTCTGGGTTCTCCCAAGGTACTTTCCCACAGAAGAGGTGGGAAATGTATGGAAGGAGAATGAAGGTGCTAATTCCCTTCTTTGTGACAAGCAAACAATAAAGACCTCAGCTCCTAGCAGACAATGTAGATTTTCTGAGTGACCTTGATATCTTTTGTATTTGGCTACACAGTGTTTGTACAGGCTTTGCTTCTGTAGTGAAATACAGAAACATGGGTTGGGTTGTGTCTTAGTGATCTTCTGTTATCATGAAAAAGATCCATGTAGAAAGGGATTCACAAGTCAATGAAAAGTTTAGAGCTGGAGCTGTCTGACAATGAATTTCCTTCCTGAGCCTGCGTCTATTCAGTTCTATACATCTGCTCTCTACTGTGATTCTCCATGTTTCTGCAATAATCCCTTTGGAGAGATGAAATCTGAAGCTTGCTTAGTATGAAAATTTGGATGGTTTAGTTGAGGACAGTTTTTCTTTTAAGGCAATCTGATTCTTCAGTACTCAATTTATGGCATATAGTAATTTCTAAGCTGAGGCTATTATCCTGTACCTGAAACGGTGAAGTTTTGGAAGGTTCAGATGTAACTGCAAGGCCCAAAAGAACATAGCTAAAGCATACGGCTACTGCTTGTGCTTTTTTTTTTTTTTTTTTTTCCCCCCTGGACACGTTCTACCTTTCTGTCATCTAAGAGTCATTCTGATTATTTTTTTTGATCCAGCCTGACTTTTAAAGCCTGTCTTGCAACTGGGACCAAGGGTTTTAGTTCTGCAGGAATGACAATGAAGGGTGACAAGAGGTACTAGCATACAAAAAAGCATGATAGTATGGCAGCAAGTGCCCTTACAGGCAAAACTGGAGAAGCCAAGCAAGGGTTGGGCTCATTGTTGAGGGACCTGAAAGCAGAACATCTGGCGTTGAGCCACTAGGTATGGATGTGGATTTGAAGCAGGGGGATTGAATGAATAGGAGAAGTGCAGGCATTACAGAGTAGGCTGGCAGTTTGGAAAGTGATTTGCGCAAGAGTAGATATCAGTGAAGCTATTTGAGAGTGCTGCGTGGTTATAGATTTGGGCAGGCAAGGATTTGATCTGAACCAGGAGGGGGGAAGATAGGGGCGGAAGAGATAGAGAAACATATGGGAGAGGATTTAGTAAACAGCTAGAGAGAAGTGAGAAGTGAAAGGCCATTGGTATGGGTTGAAGTGGGGAAAGACTTGGGATGGGAGTGTTTGGGGACTCTGGGTTATGAAACCCTGGTGGCTTTGGGACAGGAGAAGGAATTGAAAGCTGAGAGGTTAGAGATAGGACTTGTATGAGGGTCAACAGGACACTACTTTCCTATGCATTTCTAGACGGGAGAATCTGAATTGTTATTTTTTCCCCCTTTTCACTCCTCTGTTTAAGCCACTTGAAATATAATAGTTCTTTTAAAGTAAAACCATTCTAAAATAAATTGGCATGAAGACGGCCTCTGGAAGAGAACATCACTTACCTAAATAATAATTGTTTAAAGCCACTCCAGAAACTTGGAGTTAGTCTACCTTGTTGGAAAGTACCTGGCTGGTATGAAAGGGACTTGATATTTGCATTTAATTATGTTTAATAGCAAGATTAGGACTATTGATTTGGAGGGTGTGTGTGAAAGAGAGACTTTTGAAAATGCTACTATTGCTGTGGACTGTGTTTCTTTTCCAAGGGCAAGAACTTCTATGTGAGAGTTGAATGCATTTGTCTGTGCCTTGATTCCCTGTGTTGTGCCCAGCTGTGTCTTGGGGGTGGGGGGTACTCTGAATACATTACCTCCTTCCAAGAGCAGCTGGGAAGCTTGTTTTCCATTCCCATTCTTGTGAGAATTGCTTCTGGTATCTGTGTACTAGTGTGGGTCTCTAGGGTTCCCAGGAATGTAGCCTTAACAGCTGTGCTTGGAATGATGTTGCCATTCTGGTTGGGAGTCCACCTCTGTCTGTCTCCAATCCCTGCTGTTCTTCACTGTTTCCTACCTGTGCCCAAAGCACCTGTTTCATGTTTTCTCTCTTATGCTCTTGGATTCTACCCTCTGTATTAAATCAGTTTAATTTGTTAAGCCAATTGGTTGCTGAAATGACAATATTCAAAGGGAAAATTTTAAGTACCTGACGAGCTTTGAACAATATATTTAAAATCTGTCATCTTAAAACAAGATTTTTGTGATTACATCAGCTTTCTATCTTGTTAGTCGTCTCTATTTGCTTCTGAAATACCAGATGAGAACTTCACAGTGATACTCATGAAATGAACTGTTCTTATAATATGGGAGGTGGAGATGTAGGAAGGTAAAGCCTTACTGATGTGCGGTTTCATTGCCTTGTACACAGTTAGTTTTTAGTCTTCACAGACTGTGTCACAAAGTGTGTGAGAACATTTTGCCTTTCATTAATCTGTATTTTTGAAAAATATTTTTCATTATATCTTATAAAATTTCATCAGTGCATCTTCATGCTTGCAACATGGAGAAAACAGAGGTGCCTTCACAAGGGTATACAGTAGAAATATTGATCTAGAACCCATAAGAATCATTACTTAATCCCTTGCATCACTGTATGATGCCTTACTGCCCAGGAATGAGAGAGAGATGAATAGAGAGAAAAGAGGAGCAGTATTATTCTATCTTAGACCAGAAAAGGAGCAGCTGTTTGGGTAACTTCTGTAACTGTCTTTAATGGTAAGTGCAGGAAAGATGTTACCCTAAGGACACACTGGAGTATGACAATCTCAAGTTAGGTTATGAAAGATAAATATTCAGCATTACAAATTAATAAATACAGTGAATCATAAAATCATAGAATGGTTTGGGTTGGAAGGGACCTTAGAGATCATCTAGTTCCAACCCCCCTGCCATGGTCAGGGCCTCCTTCCACTAGACCAGATTGCTCAAAGCCCCATCCAACCTGGCCTTGAACACTTCCAGGGATGAGGCATCCACAGCTTCTCTGGGCCACCTGTTCCCGTGCCTCACCACCCTCATGGTGAAGAATTTCTTCCTTCTATCTAATCTAAATCTACCCTCTTTCATTTTAAAGCCCTTACCCCTTGTCCTGTCACTACATGC